TTTGTGATGATCAGGTAATGCCAGCTGCTCACCAGGAGCAATGGTAAAGCAAAGGTGCATGTGTTAAGAGTGGGCCAAACGGACGAAAGAGGAAAGCTGGTCTTCAGTCCCGCATTCCAAGGGCTGTTCAACCTTGGCAATGTTGACACTTGGGGTCTGAGAATCCTCTGCTGGAGGAAGAGGAGGGGTTGTCCTTTGTACTGTAAGATGGTTAGCGGTATCCCTGCTCTCCACCCACTACATCGCCTTAGTGCCACCACCACAACCACCACCCAATCGTGGTAATCCACATGTCCCACAGAAAGGGTTCCTAAAACACCGATTTTTTTTTTAAGTTCACTTATTTATTGTGAGAAAGACAGCGGACAGAGGAGGGGCAGAGAGAAAGGGAGAGCGAGAGAATCCCAAGCAGGCACCGCACTGTCAGTGCACAGCCCGACGTGGGGCTCGAACCCACGAACCGTGAGATCGTGAACTGAGCCGAAACCAAGAGTCAGATGCTTAACTGACTGAGCCACCCAGGCACCCCCCCCTAAAATACCCATTTCAAGCCAGTATTTTTTTTTTTTTAACCTTTATTGATTTTTGAGACAGAGAGAGAGAGCATGAACGAGGGAGGTTCAGAGAGAGAGGGAGACACAGAATCTGAAACAGGCTCCAGGCTCTGAGCTGTCAGCACAGAGCCTGATGTGGGGCTCGAACTCATAGACTGTGAGATCATGACCTGAGTCGAAGTCGGATGCTCAACCGACTGAGCCACCCAGGCGCCCCTCAAGCCACTATTCTTAGCATCCTTGGAAGGTAGCATGCTTCTTCCTGCTCTTCTCACCAGAGAGGTTCTTGCACCTTGCAGAGTTCAGGGGTGCTGCCACTTTCTCCACAAAGGGCTCCCACATCACTCCTAGCTCACATGGACCTCCCAGGCCTTATTGTCTTACTGTTTCATCATCAGCCCCTGGGTCACTGGGACACTGAACAGAAAAAGCACCGGCCACAGTGAGATGTGTAAATATGTTATGAATGACAAGGAGTGGCGCCTGGCTGGCTCAGTCAGTAGAACATACAACTCTTGACCTCGAGGGCTGTGAGTGTAAGCCCCAGGTTGGGTACAGAGCTTGCTTACACACATGCATAACTTATGAAAGACATGTACAGTACAACCTCGTTGTGGATACAAAACAGACCCCTGAAAAGCTAAAGACAAGGGCTGTCCAAGGGCAGGACAAGATTCTCCGCCAGCTGATAGAGGATGGTGAGATAGTGGAGGGGCCTAGGCTGGCTGCCAGGGTTCCACTGCAGGCAAAAACCCAGAAGGAGAACATGGGCATCGGTATCAGAGCTGGACAAGCTAAGAGGCTAGACTGAAAAAAAAAAAAAAAAAAAATCCTGGAACTAATAAGAATTATAGCAAGGTTGCAGGATACAACGTTAACATAAAAGTCAATCACTGTCCCCTATACTAGCAATGAACAAGTACAAATTAAAATCAAAAACCTATTCTCACATACATCAGCAACCAAAAAATGAAACACTGAAGTATAAATGTAACAAAATACGAACAAGATCTATAAGAAGAAAAATACAAACCTCTAATGAAAAATATCAAAGAACTAAATAAAACGAAGAAATATCCCATGCCCATGGATAGGAAGACTCGATATTGCCAAGATGTCAATTCTTCCCTACTTGTGTAGATCCAACGAATCCCAATCAAAATCCCAATGTTGGCAAACTGACTCTGGAGTTTACGTGCAGGGGCGAAACACCCAGAATAGCCAATCTGGCATTAAAGGAGAAGAACAAAGTCAGAGAACTGACACTACCTGACTTCAAGACTTACTACAAAGCTGCATAATCAGGACTGTGTGGTGTTGGCAAAACAATGGACAAACAGATCGATGGAACAGATTGCACAGCCCAGAAATAGATCCACATAAATACAGTCCACTGATCTTGACAAAGAGCAAAGGCAATTTAGTAGGGAAAGGACAGTCTTCACAAATGGGGCTGGAATGACTAGACATTCACATTTAGAAAATGAAATCTAGGGGCGCCTGGGTGGCGCAGTCGGTTAAGCGTCCGACTTCAGCCAGGTCACGCTCTCGCGGTCCGTGAGTTCGAGCCCCGCGTCGGGCTCTGGGCTGATGGCTCAGAGCCTGGAGCCTGTTTCCGATTCTGTGTCTCCCTCTCTCTCTGCCCCTCCCCCGTTCATGCTCTGTCTCTCTCTGTCCCAAAAATAAATCAACGTTGAAAAAAAAAAAAAAAAATTTTTAACAAATGAAATCTAGACACAGACCTTACATCCTTCCCCAAAGGTAACACAAAATGGATCCTAGACGTAAACGTAAAATGCAAAACGACAAACCAGACTATGACAGGAAATCACCTAAACAACCCTGTTATGGTGATTACATCTTAGATACCACACCAAAGGCATGATCCATGAAAGAAATAACTGATAAGCTGGACTTCATTAAAATTTAAAACTTCTCCGCAAAAGACGTCATTCAAGAAAATAAGACGACAACCACACACTGGAAGAAAGTACCTGCAAAAGACACACTGGGTAAATGACTATCGGCCAAAAGATACAAAGAACCCTTTGATCACGACAATAAGGAAATAAACAGCTCAACTTAAAAAATGGGTAAAAACCCTCAACACATGCCTCACCAAAGAAGACAGGCAGAGGATAAGAAAGCATATACATCACATGTCCTCAGGGAATTGCAAATTAAAACCGCAAGACACCAGCTCACACCTACTAGAGTGGCCCAAATCTAGACCACTGACCCCGAATGCGGGCAAGGGTGCGGAGCGACAGCTCTCGCTCACAGGTGGCGGGACAACACGGAGCAGCAGCCCTGGAGATCAGACCAGCAGTATCTTTTTTTTTTTTAATGTTTTATTTATTTTTGAGACAGAGAGAGACAGAGCATGAACAGGGGAAGGGCAGAGAGAGGGGGAGACACAGAATCCGAAACAGGCCCCCAGGCTCTGAGCTGTCAGCACACAGCCCGACGCGGGGCTCAAACTCACAAGCTGTGAGATCATGACCTGAGCTGAAGTCAGACGCTTAACCGACTGAGCCACCCAGGCGCCCCAGACCAGCAGTATCTTAACAAAACAAAACATGCTCTTACCCCTCGAGCTAGCAACCGCACCCCTTCATATTTACTCAAAAGAGGAGAAAGCTTATGTCCGCACAGAAAGCTGCACATGGATATTTACAGCAGCTTTCTTCCTAACTGCTGAAACTTAGAGGCAACCAAGGTGTCCCGCAGTAGGTAAACGGACAGACCGTAGTCCATCCGGATGAAATAGTGTTCAGTACTGAAACGACACACACTATCAAGCCACGAAGGAGACTTTTAAATGCAGGCTGTTAAGTGAAAGAGGCCAATAGAAAAGGCTACATGCTTCGTGCTTCCCATCATACGACATCTGAGAAAAGGGGTTGGGAGGAGAGAGGGGTAAATAAACAGGCAGAGGACAGAGGACTTTCAGGGCACAGACGCTACTCTGCAGGTTGCTACAATGGTGGAAATGCGTCATCATACATTTCTCCAAACCCACAGAATGCACAACACTGGAAGTGAACCTCAGCGTAAAGTAAATCATGGACTTTGAGTGACGGTGACGTGTTGATGTAGGTTCACGGATTTTAACAAACGTACCACTGTGGTGTGGGGGGCGGGGGGCGATGTCAACAGTGATGGAGGTTTTGGTGGGGTGGGGGACTGGGGTATACAGGAACTCTCTGTACTTTCTGCTCAGTTTGGCTGTGAACTAAAACTGTTCTAAAAAAAATTAAGTTTATTTTTTCTAAGTAAGCTCTATGCCCAATGTGGGGTTCAAACTCACGACCCCGAGATCAAGAGTCACATGCTCCACTAAGCCAGTCCTATGCTCCAAGTTTATTAATTTTTTAAAAAAGTAAGACCCCTCAAGGGACCAAATTTTCACAGTCAACAGTAAAAACAAAATGTAAATGAAACATCTTGGAAAATGAAACTAAAAGTTATTTATAACATAAGTTATAATGCAACCGTGCACATAAAAAGGAAATTAGGTAGGGAATTTTGGCATAATTTTACCAAAAAGTTAATGATGACACCATAAACCATAATTCACTCCCTGTTTGACTTTTATTGCATCATTCTGCAAATACATCTACGGACTTGGCCAGTCTTTTCAAGGGCTTCTCTCTGTTTTTTGATGTTTAAATGATTCTATTGTGAAGGGCTCATGGTATCATCCTCCCCATCAATTTTCAACTGTTAGTGGGTCTGTGGGATATATTGTGTCAACAGGTATGTGTGAAACTTTAACAGCTCTCAAGCGTTTCTTCCAGCAAACTTCAGGAAATCTTGCAGAGATCTGCAATTTCATTTCACAACTGACTGTGACTTTTATCAATCAGCAATGAGAGTGATAATAATAAACACTTGATTTGATGGGCCTGGACAAAAGTTAGTGTTCAGCTGCGACAGTTGGGCATGGACAAAATTTTTGAGCGGTCAGTTTATTAATGACAATTTCTATGTTATAGTAATTTTTTTAAACGTTTATTTATCTTTGAAAGGGAGAGAGACAGAGTGCGAGCAGGGAGGTGCAGAGAGCAAGACACAGAATCTGAAGCAGGATCCAGGGTCTGAGCTGTCAGCACTGAGCCCAACTTGGGGCTCGGACCCACGATCCGTGGGATCATGACCTGAGCTGAAGTCAGACGCTTAACCTCCTGAGCCACCCAGGCACCCCTATGTTATGGTAATTCTTATCTTTCCCTATACCACTGCTAAAGGACTCAGGCAAACAACAGTCTGATTACAGAGACCCCTGCCATCAATCACATTAAAAGGACAGTGAAGAGGCCAATTTAAGCTAAAATCCAGTGCCTACCACGAGTCAGGCACTATTCCACTGCTGGAGACACGAGGATGAACAGGAAATGCCCTCTAGGAATTAATTCAATCTAACACGGGAGTCAAAGAATAAACACACAGATGTGGTAAGTGCTGTTGCCGTGAAGGTGTGTATGTATATGAAGTGCTATGGAGGACAAACAAACAGGGAAGAAATTAATTCTGTTTCTCCCTAAGCCAGGCCTCGAAGGAGGAAGTTTAGAAGCAGACACCAGGCTGCCAAGCAGAGTAGAGGCGCAAAGAGAGGCCTGGAGACTGAAAACACAAAGCTCATTCAGGAAACGCAGGGTCCAGTGTAACTAGCTCCCTGTTCCTTGTTGCTGGCAAGGGGGGAGAGCGATTTTTAAACAATAGCAACAACAACAAGAAAGAACCCCTCTAAAAAGGGAGGCTGGGGCCCAAGCTGAAAGCACGCCAACAAGTTTGGATTTTAATCTCCAGCTACAGGAAGCCACAGTAAACTTTTAAAGCTAAAGGAACAGGGGCGCCTGGGTGGCTCAATCAGTTGAGCCTCTGACTCTGGCTCAGGTCATGACCTCACAGTTCGTGGGTTTGAGCCCCGTGTCGGGCTCGGTGCTGACAGCTCGGAGCCTGGAGCCTGCTTCGGATTCTGTGTCTCCCTCTCTCTCTGCCCCTCCCCACTTGTGCTCTGTCTCTCTCAAAAATAATAAATAAACATTAAAAAAATTTTTTTTAATTTTTTAAAACAAGAATAACAATATTTGAGAAATACCAGGCAACAAGATATAGAATGGATGGGGGTGGGGGGGACCCAAAGTGCAAGGACATCCACAGGTGCCTCCTGGTACAGGGTCTAAGTAAGGGCGCAGGCCTGGACTCCTGGCTTCAGAAACAACAAACAGAGGAGACAGCAGGTGTGAACGTAAAAGGCAAAAGCGGCTCACCAGGTCTCAGCTGTCACTGCAGGCAGAGGAGGGGCCTCTGGGGGAGTGCAAAGGTGGCAGTGGTCCGGCAGCTCTGGCCAGCTGCTGTTACAACTCCAAGACAGAAAGCAGCAAAAGTATATTCCAGGGTGGGAAGGAGCAAAAGGGTTAAACGTGGGACTAGACTCAGACTAGACGGACTGAGTTGAGGTGGTGAGGTCTGATAAACCCCTGCAGACAGACCAGCACTCAGTAAAAAGCTGAAAGATTGTGAAGTGTCAATAACACAGCCAGAGACACAGGAAGTGCCACCTGCCTGTGGAGGGCCGCTGGATTTGGACCCAGAGGAATCCCTTTCCTCGCTCTGAACTGCCTCTTTTGCCCCCCACCTTTTTTTGAGAGAGAGAGAGAGAGAGAGAGAGGGGGCACAAGTGAGCGAGGGACAGAGAGACAGAATCACACAAGGAGCAGGGGGAGGGGGGAGAGAGTGGGGGAGGGGGGAGAGAGTGGGGGAGGTGGAGACAGTGGGGGAGGGGGAGACAGTGGGGAGGGGGGAGGGGGAGAGAGGAGGAGGGGGCAGGGGGAAGGGAGAGGGAGGGAGAGGGAGGGAGAGGGAGGGGGGGAGGGAGGGAGAGAGAGAGAGAGAGAGAGAAGCAGAGCTCACCCGAAAAGGGGCTCAAGTTCAAGAACCAAGAGCTCATGACCTGAGCCAAAGTCAGATGTGTAACAAACTGAACCACCCAGGCGCCCACCTCTTTTGCCCCTTTTTAAAGCTAGGCATCACCCACTTCCCATGTGCTAAATCACCTCTTTTCTCATTAAACCCATTCCATAATTCCAGGACTAAGAGGCAATGTACACCATAGTTTTAAAAGGTCCTCTAAACAGAAAGGAGAGCTTCCAAGACTACTTCTGCGAGGACCAATTCCTGGAGAAAAGAAAACATCTTCAGTGCTCTTACAGTAACAGTTACTAATTTTTTTTAAATGTTTATTTATTTTTGAAGGAGAGAGAGAGAACATGAGCAGAGAGAGAGAGGGGACACAGAATCCGAAGCACGCTCCAGGCTCTGAGCTGTCAGCACAGAGCCCGACACGGGGCTCAAACTCACAAACCACGAGATCATGACCCGAGCCGAAGTCGGCCGCTTCACCGACTGAGCTGCCCAGGTGCCCCTATTCATTTTTTTAATGAAAGTGTCTCCAAAACTATCACATTCAGGTAGGCCTGAAAATTCTCAAAGAAAAGGGTGATAGAGATCATCCCAGGCCATGTAATCATCAGTCTGTATAAACGAGAAACCTAGAGGGGCTGGAGGTCAGTGGCTATTCGCTGATGTCAGAGTCTGAGAGACTGAGTCTCTGGCACCCCACTCCTGCCCCAGTGCTCTTGCCTGTTGCCTGTGAGGATGTTCGGACACCCAGGATCCAGCCTTAAGACATTCCCTTGTGGGCCCTTTCAGGGGAGTGTCACTGGTCAGTTAAGCTGTTGTGTTTTGCTTAAAACTGTCATTGTAGGGGCACCTGGGTGGCTCAGTCGGTTAGGCGTCCGACTTCGGCTCAGGTCACGATCTCGCGGTTGGTGAGTTTGAGACCCGCGTGGGGCTCTGTGCTGACAGCTGGGAGCCTGGGTCCCGCTTCAGATTCTGTGTCTCCCTCTCTCTCTGCACCTCCCTGCTCACACTCTGTCTCTCTCCCTCAAAAATAAGTAAACATAAAAAAATTTTTTTTAATAAGTAAAATGAAAATATAAAAAACCTTTCACTGGGCAAACTCCTTTGATTCCCACCTTTGGCTCCTACTGCTCGTAAGCAAATCCGTGAGAGGGGCCAGAGGCACAACAAGGAAGTGAAGCTCTGCTGCAAGACTGGGCACAGAAAAGGAATCAAATGACTAAAATTGGAGTTGGGGATTATCAGTGGCAGCCGGCCAGTTTCCAGATACTACACTCAGCCTAGTCAACCAGCTAAAAGAAAACGGGCAGAGAAAGAAAAGCGCTTTTAAAGGTCTAGGGGCGCCTGGGTGGCTCAGGGCACCGTCTCGAGGTTTGTGAGTTCGAGCCCCGCGTCCAGCTCACTGCTGTCGGGTGCAGAGCCGGCTTCGGACCCCCTGCCCCCCTCTCTCTATCCCTCCCCCACTTGCACTCTCTCGAAAAGAAAGAAGGAAGGAAGGAAGGAAGGAAGGAAGGAAGGAAGGAAGGAAGGAAGGAAGGAAGGAAGGAAGAAAGAAAGAAAGAAAGAAAGAAAGAAAGAAAGAAAGAAAGAAAGAAAGAAAGGTCTAAATAGGTCCCACGCTAGGGGCGCCTGGGTGGCTCAGTCGGTTGAGCCACCGACTTCGGCTCAGGTCACGATCTCACACTCCGTGAGTTCGAGCCCCGCGTCGGGCTCTGTGCTGACAGCTCAGAGCCTGGAGCCTGTTTCGGATTCTGTGTCTCCCTCTCTCTGACCCTCCCCCATTCACGCTCTGTCTCTCTCTGTCTCAAAAATAAACAAACATTAAAAAAAAATTTTCTTTTAAATAAATAAATAAATAGGTCCCACGCTAAATGTTAAACGGTCATCTCCTGCGACCAGAGTGGCCCCAAAAATCAAGGCAGCCCCTTTTCCTCTTCCGTCTGAATAAACACACGCGGACATTTTTTCGGTCATTTAAATATATGGCTACATATTTTTAGCTTAAGAAAAGGGGAGGACCTTTCCACCTCGCTCCTCGTCATTCCTGGAGCCACACCTCCTAAACTCGGACCACGAAGACACCCCTACGTCTGAGCAGCGTTAGCGGGGAACGAACAGATGTTACCCCCAGGACACGAACAAGTGAATTTCGGGGGCGGGGAGCAAGTCGTGGACGCGAGGAACTAGCAGTGAAGTCACCAAGGGTCTTCTTTTAAAGCCACTCACAACATCCCTCTCACTCAAGGCCCTGAACCCCAAAGGGAGGGCCTCCCCTGGCAAGGTTTCATGAGCTTCTGCACAAAACGCACTTTGTGATGATTCAACGGTATTGTTCTGCTCGGAGGAGACCTGTCTTCGCATGGAACCGGGATCCGTTCAACAGCCGGTCTTCTGGAAGGTCTGGGGGGGGGGGGGGGG